ACTACCAGAAGCTAATGTATTTCCATCAGGAGAGAAACAGACTGAGTAGACATAATGAGTATCACCATCTAATTTGGCTTTTTATTATCCTGTTTTGACATCCCATAGACGGATAGAGTTATCTACACTACCAGAAGCTAATGTATTTACATCAGGAGAAAAACAGACTGAGTAGACAGCATATGAATGACAATCTAATTTGGCTTTTTATTTTCCTGTTTTGACATCCCATAGACGGATAGACTTATCATTACTACCAGAAGCTAATGTATTTCCATCAGGAGAAAAACAGACTGACATAATTTCTCTAGTATGACCATTTAATTTTTTTTTTTATTATCCTATTTTGACATCCCATAGACGGATCGACTTATCTTTACCACTAGAAGCTAAAGTATTTCCATCCGGAGAGAAACAAACTGATTACACAGATTTAGTATGACCATTAAATTTCTACAATTCATTGATTCTTAAGCCTTTCCATTTACAATTAAATAATTATGCTCCATTCAGATTAATTCCACTTATGTTGACATTATAAAATTAGGATTCACTAAAATTACACCTAACAAAATTAGCTCCTACTAAAGAAGTATTTTAAATCTTAATATTTTCAAAACTTTTATTTCTAAGATCAACCTTCATTTAAACCAATATATGTAATGAATTAGACCCACCCTATATAAAAGTTTCATCAATCGATGTGAGGTGAACTAAAAATTACAAAAATTCAAGGATCCATCTATTATCCTTGATTCTATTAATTAATATTTATGTGGATTTTTCATTTTCTTCAAAGGAATAGTCTATCTTATTGAAGCCATGGTCTTTTAATTTTCTTAAGACTTCTGTGATTAATTTGATATCATTTCTAACATCAGCCTGGGTGATATTCTCTCCTTTTTGTAAGATATATGATTCTAATTGGCTTTGAGTCCCTTTATCTGAAAGATATCCAATGATGTCTTAAACTTTTTCCTTTCTTAATTTTTCTAATATGACACCAAAAATTTGCTCATCTACTTCTTTTATATGACCAAAGATGTCAGTTAGAGCTTCCTACTCTTAAAAATGGACTTGCATATTCTTTTTTATTTTTAATAATGAATTTCTATTACTATAACTTAAAGTTATATACTGCAAAATCGATAAAAGTATCTTGAGCATTTCTGAAAAATAGAAGTTAGGACTTTGTGTAGATTTGGAATAGATTGTAGTAGATTTAAATAAGGCTATTGAGAATTCATTTCAACAACTGCAATACTTGTTTTTTTAATAATATAGAATATTTTTATTTTATATGAAAATTGAATTATTAATATATATTTTTCTTGTTAAACTTTTATTTAGAGAACAAATAATTTTAATTTTTCATCCAGCTATTTAGAGAATGGATAATGTTTTCACGTTTTCATAAAGAGTTGCCATAAATAAATTTGTTATTCTTCTTGTTTTCAGAGAGAATTGAAACTTTAATTAGATCCAGAATTTAAATTAATGAGTAAAAGTTTGTATTATCCATCATAAATGTGTTCCCAGTTATACTAAACAATTTTAGTCCAATTAATTGTTTGGAAAAAGCAAAAGGGATACTTTTTCAAGGCCCATTTTTGCTTCCACATTTGGTGTGACCTCTCATAAACAAGTTGCTATCTCTTGGGGGAAATTGTAGTCTCATGGGCTGCTGAATGATGTTATGATATACCTCTATTATAGTGTGATCAATTTTTTATTAAAAACCCTCAGGGTGGTGTTGAATTTTTAATATATTTTGAAAAAAGGTAATACCCCCCCAAGCTTTTTTTTATATGAATAATCATTTTTAATTTATTCTCTTGAAAGATTGTTTTATGTTGAATAAATTATAAAGTAATAAGAATGTAAAATTGAGAGAAAAAGCAATATAATTTTGAAAAAAATACCCATTTAATACTTAATAATTACAAATTTAGTATTAACAAATTAATAATTTTAAAAATTTATAATTAAGAATAGAACATGATTACAATTTTACTATTTTCTTAATAGAGAATATTAAGTAATGATGAAAATATATTGAGCAGAAAAAGTTAACTTGACCAGATACAGAGATAAAAATAATGATGAACAAAATCTTGATAGAGTTGATATGGATATAAATTATGATGACTTATTAATTCATTTTCATTTTTTATTGCATTCTAATTGGTTTTCTAAAATACAGCTACCCTTTTGTTTAAACAATGTCTTTAAATCTATACCTGATTGATTGATAAACTCTCCTCTCAAAATTAGTGCTCCTTATGCTTAAAATATAGCCTATTAAGATATAAGGAGTGTAGTGATGTAATTGGAGGCTTAAAATATCAAAAAAAAATAATATTACCTTCTTATAATGGACAATTTTATTAGAGCGGAATTTTTAATTATGCAAGAATATCTTTGTAGTTTTTATCAGAGGATTTAATTTCTTATCCTGTTTTGACATCCCATAGACGGATAGAGTTATCACTACTACCAGAAGCTAATGTATTTCCATCAGGAGAGAAACAGACTGACTAGACAGTACTAGTATGACCATCTAATTTGGCTTTTTATTATCCTGTTTTTACATCCCATAGACGGATAGACTTATCATGACTACCA